GAGTAAATGCTTTACATGCACATGAAATTGGTAATATTATTACTGCTGTTTTATAAGTTATTAGATAAAATTAAGCATAAATACATTATATTCAACCACTTATGCAGATGAAACTGAAGTTATTACTTCAAGTGGAACTATGTCAGTTATTATTCAATGTAAAGATAAATGTTCTGTTGAAAATACAGGTGCAACTATTATAGGTAAAAAAATAATAAATAGTTTTCGAAATATATTATCTTTCAATGTAGATAATATAAATTTGAATTGTGCAGATTCATATGAAAAAGAAGGTTCTAAATATATATTGAAATATATCTTAAAAAAAGATGATTCTAGTTCTTTATATACAAACTCAAAAAATATAGATGTTGCTAAGAATTCATTTTATTGCCAACTACGATTTAGTATTTTATACTCTAATCAAATTATTCATAGTGATAATTTTTTAGTTTCACCTAATGGCAATAATATACTAATTTTAAAAGTAAATTGTGTGCTTATTTTATACTCAAAGTATAACAAAATTTGGGAAATATCATATTCTTCTAAAATTATTTTTAACTGTATTTTAAAATTACAGAATAATGGAAATTTAGATTTAAAATATAATAAGAAATTATTATGGTCATCAAATAAGCATTGCAATCCTACGCTTGAGTGCTTTCTACCAACATATTTTATAGTTCAAAATGACTGTAATTTGGTTATTTATAAATTAAAATTCCCAAATAAAGTTTTATGGGAATCTAAAACACATAATCATATTTTATGTAATAGTTAATTTTTATATATTATCTATTTTTATTTGCTAGATGCTTTTAAAATAAAATCTCTATATAAGAAATAGCGGTTTAAATTGATAAAATAAATAAAAGTTTTTAATTTATGCATATTAATTGTAGAATAAAAATTATATAAGGTAAAACATATTCATCTAAAAACTTTTATTACCATCAAAGTCATATTTCTAGAATAAATAAGTGCTCAAACAAATGGCAAAATAATTATTATTTCTTTTTACTTTATTAGTAGTTTTTTAATTATCTAATAACTTTATAAGAAAAGAAAATTAAATTTTATAACTAAAATAAAAATATCAAATTGAATTAATCAACTACAACTTTAGCTAATAGTTAAGCATTTAGTTTGTAATAAAAACACGAAATACTCCGTGTTAGAACTCAATGATATGAAATTTATTTATAGTGAAACAAAAATCAGTAAATAGTCTAATGAATTAAACTTGGAAGAAACTTAAGTTACTGGATAAAACATGAAAAAACGATGGAGAACAGTAGAGAAAATAAAATAAAAAACAAAATAGAAGGAAAAGGAAAGATCTCAAAGCATAGGATGTAAGGGGGTTTTCGCACCCACCATTAATTTAGGGCTTTTACATCAGAGGATTTTAGCCTAATTTAAAATTTTAATGTTATTCTTTTCACACCAATATTAGTTAATAATAGCATTAGTAGTTATTAGTCATTTTGGGTGATAAAAACTTTGGACAATGTTAACCAGTTCACACTCCCATTAAATTAGCTAATTTAATGATGCTATATTCACACCAGCTACCTTTTACAACATGCCATTTAAAGGTGGTGCTTCTTTGGATTTAACCATTTATGCCCTGAAATATCCAGTGCTAGCTTGAAATTTCCCAGCAAAGATCTTTCATCACAGTTATGTGATGTTGCTACTGGTGATCCAATGTTGCAATGCTACTGCTCAATTTAATCATCTCAAAATATCCAGTGCTAGCTCGAAATTTCCCTCTTGCTCTAGCAATATCATATGAATCTATTTAAGAAAACCGTTGGATTATTCTTGGTAGAGACACTTGCAATTCATGCTTTACTGCCATAGCTTCTCACGAGATCTTACACATGTAACACTAAAAAAACAAATAGTTACCATTTCTCTTCAAGCTTAAGCTCTTGATAAATAGTGAAGAAGCTTTTCTTGTAACTCCTCTCCATCTGCTTCATTTTGGTGGCCACCTCCAGCATTGTCTCTATCATCTTCATCAATGGCTTGGTGCAAGTTTAACTCCTCAATTTCTTCATCAACATTTGCATCTCCACTATCGATGAGGTAGTTATGTAGCAAACAACATGCATAAATAACATCGACAACATCGCTTGGTTGCATCCTGATTTTGCTACTTAGGATTTGAAACTTGCCTGAAAAAAAAAACTAAGTAAGAAATAGAACATTGAAGAAACAATTCAAACCTTTTAGAAGGCCAAAAGCACACTCGACAATTTGCCGAGCCTCGGAGAGTTCATTGTTGAAGAATTGCTTCAAGATACTCAAGTTTGCCGAGCGTCGGAATGGAGTCATAATCGCAATGTTGCAAGGATACCCTTTATCACCAAGTAGATATGGCTTCAAACTAACATCTGGGATCTCTGGAAACTCCATCACTGGCTGTTGCAAGACTTCTCCAAGTAGTACTCGCTGTCGAAAGCTACTGTTTTTCCACACACGTCCATCATGAACTGTTCCAGGCCAGCCACAACAAATATCCAAGAACCTCTTCTTACTATCCACAATGGCTTGTAATGTGATGCTATAGCGATGGTGCTTGAAGTAGACCTCAGGATCATCCCACGGTCTTTCTATTTCTATCTGTGATCCATCTATGCACCCTGCAACATTTGGTAGTTTTGTAATCCCTTGGAATCCATCTATAACCTTTTTCAGATCTGAAGATGATGTAGGAAACTTGATCACATTTGCAAAGACTTCAAGAATTGCTGCACATGTCTCCTTGATAACCTCAAATGCTGTACTCTTCCCAATCCCAAACCTCTCGGACAATGAAAGAAGCTTGGATCCATGCCGGAACTTGTAGATGGCACATGCAACACGAACACGAACTAATATAGCCATGCGGTAGTGTGTGTTCTGCTTCACGATTGAGTCATGCAAACAATCAACCAAGTTGTTGAAAGTTTGCTTTTTCATTCCAAAGTTCTCCTTCCACCACATGTCATCGTAGTATCTATCCACAAACCTATCAAACCACACTGTTGATCGTGGTTTCACCCACCAAATCCGTTCTAGCTGTGGTTGTTGAGAACTTGATGTAGCAGCCACGACATGAGAGTGAAAAGACCGCAGTTGCATCAGTCATTTCTGCTCCTGTCTATCCATTTCCACTAAGCTATCTATAACTTGTCTTCTCTTCTTCTTTATTTGTTGCTGCCTTACTTGGAACTCTTGATCCCTTTTTTGTATTGATATCTAATGGCGTATAACCAAGACCAGCAACACAAGGTGAAGGGGATCCATTTCCTGAAAATATAATAGCATTTTGAGAAAGAAAAGAACATAAACTATACTTACTAGCTATCTTTATTCAGGTTTTTATTTTTTGTTCCCCAATGACTCACTAACAATGCAAACCTATTAACCAGAAAAGGATTGTTAGAAAGGAAGATACCAATTAAATCTAACATGAATGCTTCTATCCTACCTTGCTGGATCGCAGATGCTATTGCAGCTAAAGCTGTGGTTATGCCAAGGTTTGTCTCCTTCTCCATGGCTAATCGATCTTGCTCGAGGCGAATGGACTCTTTCTCCAGCTCCATTTGCTCTTGATGCAGCTTCAATCTCGTCTCTTCAGCAGCAGTGAACATCTTGAGCGATGCTTCATTCCCTTCCTTGAGGACATCAACTAATGCAAGGAGATCACTCCTTCTTGCCTTCTTCTTTGCCCGGCTAGTCGATCCAGCTTCTTTGTCACCTAAGCTTTCCTGCTGCAGCAGTGGACTGTGGACTTCTTCTGCTGTGCCTCTGTCTTCGTTTTCAATACTTGTGCCAAAGTTGCTGCTACGAGAACCACTGCCAGAACCACCAGATCTTGTAGGAGGACGATTGCTATTGTCACGAAGCTTTGCTAGAGTGATATTTGGCTTTGCAGAGAGAAACTCGTCAATCTCATCAAAAGCCTCTTTCTCAATAATTCCAAGCTTCGCAGCACTTCGCTCCTTGGTCGTCAGCGCAAAGTAATTGCCACAGCCAGTGGAATGATCATAGAGCTTGACGGCTTTGTAAACAGTCATCAAGTTCGTCCATTTTATCCTACACTTCTCAGGATCCCTATCATAGCCTTCAGCTTGAAGCCGTGCCGAGATCCTCTCCCACTTCTCTTTCGAACAAACCATACACTCTCTATTAGATGCGCCTTCGTATTGTTCGAGCTCAATCCTCTTCTCCTGAATCAGCACCATCACTTCATCGTGAGTCCAATTGGATTGTCAATCATGAACACTTGGACCACCAAAACTCATGATACCTCCACCAGGAACACTAATAGCAACACCATGAGAACTTGCAGTAGCTCCAAAACCAGGAACAAGAGTTCCTACACCTGATCCACTACCACTGCTTCCACTTCCACCAACAGCAAGACAGTGAGAGCTTGCACCTGCTCTAGGAAGAAGAGTTCCACCAGCACCTAGTCCAAGATCTCCAACAGCAACACCATGAGAATCTGCACCAAGACTTCCACCAGCACTTGGTCCAAAACTTCCAGCAGCAACACAGTGAAAATCTGGGCCAAGAGTTCCACCAGCACCTAAGCCAAGACTTCTAGCACCAACACCGTGAGAACCTAAGCCAAGACCTCCAACACCAACACCGTGAAAACCTGCTCCAGTCATCCATAGCATGCTTGGCTAGAAGTAAAATGCTCCAAAATGTGCTAGAAATGCTTAGGATTTATCTCTTACCTCATTTCCGCCATGGTACGCTTGCCAACACCACGCCTCACTGCTCCATGGGCATCGCCACTACTTGTAGCCAACAACACCGCACACCGCACGCCACGCCAAAACGAAAGCAAGTGAAAGCCCTATAGAATATTTGTGAATATTTTAATCCTAATGCTACAAAAGTGTAGCATTAGGATTTTAGTGAAAAATGCATAAGAAATGCTAATGGAAACATTAGCTTATTTTAATGTTAATTTCTGGTGTGAACAAGTTGCCATTAAATTTAATAGTTAAATTAAAGTTTACAAATTTAATATAATAACGTAATGGTGTGAACGAATTACCATTAAATTTACAAAGTTAATGGTGGGTGCGAAAACCCCCTAAGAAAACAATTGGCAATTTAAAGCGTGGAGAAGCGTAATGCCCAGTGCCATGACTGCTGTGATTAGAGGCATGGCCAGAGGGAGAAGAGTGGACAGGAGAGAGCACTCAATTTCCCTGCACTTGCTACCATTAGTGGGGCCATTCGCCACAAGAATCAGGGAAGAATTGCTCCAAAAACTCTCTATTTTTGCTTTTACACTACTATGTTTCGGATGGAATGCTACCTAGCACCCAAACCACAACCATTCACACTTGGAAGAGGCACTAGGGGCCATGGCCTTAGCATCCAATTGCCCCAAGGGGGGATGCTAAAGGGAAGAGCTGCCAACAGCAAAACCCCAATTTTTGGAAGGAGGGCTTTGCTGGGTTCTTCGATGGACAATGAGAAGCTAGGCTCAAGTGGTATGGCAGGAAGCAGTGAGCACACAATCAGTGATTGTGCAGGCTTGAGGCAAAAATCGCATCACACAGAAAGTGATCACCTCATGGAGCATGTTGGCAGGGATCTCCTTGAAGAGGTCATGTAGGGACCGAGAGAGTTGATAGACATGGCTCAGCACACTCGTAAACTCCTTGCAAAACTTATGGACATAGACTCTAGCCTGACCAACTCCCCAACGTTCAATCTAGAAAAGTTTGTCCAATTGGAACAAGAAGGCTATGAAAATAGAGACAACAAGGCAATCGAGGAGGGGACACCAACACCAGTCACTATCCTTGAGACCGACTCAAGACTGCTTGGGGACTTACAAGAAGAAGACAAGATACTGGAAGTAGCTAGGTCCATGGGAATGGTGATGCATGAGACACCAAAAGTAAGACTGCATAGGAGCACAGATAGAGCAGCAGAGTTGGAGGTTCCAAAGGAACAAGGGTTAGGGCCAGGGATGTCACTACTTGCCTCACCAACCACACATCATGGCCCCCCCGAGCAGCAAGAATGTGCACTGAACAGAGCAGCACAGAAAGTGAGTGGATTCCTAGGCTCTAGAGAATTAGCCTATAGAGACAGGCCGTGCGAGGAGGTGGCCACAAGCAAAGCTCCAGAACTGAGTTTTTCCACCACTTAGTGTGGTTCTTAACATGGGAGAGACAGCTCTTGGAAAAACTAAGGGCAAGACATGCCCTAATCTAGGCAAGAACAAAGGCATGAAGAGCGAGGATAAGGAAGAGTAGCAGGGCAGCAGCAACATTGATGAGGGCAGCCACGGTTGCACTCTACCAGCAAGTTGACACTCAATGGGAGCAAGTTACGAGGAGGATAGGTGGCAATCAGGTGAACTGAAATCAATGGAGGAGTTGGGAGAAGAGAAGAGCTTGGATATGCCTAACACTTAAGTGTGAGATCTATAAAGGAACAGAAAAACTCCTAATAACCATAGGGCAGAGACAAAGGAACAAGTCCGGAAGAGTTGAGCTGCTATCTTGCTAGGGCCACAAGTCATAGCTAGGGCTAGACCAAAAGGAGAACACTCAGTTAGAAGTTCACTTGTAGGTGCTTCTTAGATCTAACAAACAAAGCAAGAGCGTCACTGCCTAGCTCTTTGGTGAAGTTTGCAGGATCTTTGATTCAAGAACAAGACTTTACTCAGCCACCAGCATGACAACAAGCCCCAACCCCTAGTTGTGCAGCAATATATGCCAAACCAGACAAAAGAAGGAACGTTGGGATGGGATCCTCGAGCCTTCTTGGAGGTGCCACTCAGGATAAAGTGCAGCTTCACCAAGACATTCTCACTATGGAGCTATGGCACTAGAAGACAAATCCCTTGGGGGAAGACTGGATCCTTGGCCTTGCCCTCAGGGTAGCCCTTGAACTTGCGATGGTGGCACTAGAAACACAGAAAGAGAGGAAGAGAAAGAATAGCCAAGATGCCTGGAAAACCAAGATGCAAGAGGAAGTGACAAGCATATGGAAGGTACACGAGTCATAGGAACAGGGAGTGGAATGGGAGAGTGAACAAGGCAATGAGATCCCAGGGGACAACAGAAAGGTGGAGACACTGAAGGAGGAGCCGATTCTGGGAAAAAGAAAAAGCCATTAGTGTTATTGCTAGAAGAACAAGAGGAGGAGATAAAGTGCATGGGACTGGAGATGGATAAAGAGGTAAAAAAGAACAAGATGGAAAAAAAGAAAGAACGCAAGGTGGTGCAAAAAAAACTAAAGGATTAAAGTAAGTTAAAAGAGGCCCTCATGTGGGCAAAAGAGGTGGAGGAGTTCCTATATGAGGAGTTGATGCTTTCTGAGGAGGACCAGAAACAGGCTATAGGCAACTTGCCCAAAGGAGAGCCTCAACAGGACGTGGTTGGGAAAAGGTGGTAGCTAAGGATTAGCCCACTCCATGCTGCAGTCTGGATGGCCCTAGAGATCAAGGTGACTTTGGAGTTCAGCAAGAGTGAGGAGGCTGCTCCACACAAGGAAAGGTGGCAAATGAAGTCTTGTAGGCAGAAGCCTCAAAACCAAATTCTTGTACAAAAGAGCCAAGGAAATGGGCTGGCATAGTGCAAGACACCAAGGTGACGGCAAAGGCAGTCAAGCTGCGCGAATTACTTAACCAGGTGGTGGCAACCAAAGAAGAAAAACTACACCATAGAGCAATGATTGTGGTCTTCAGGGGAAGTTTCTGATCGGTTGTATGGCCATTGATTAGCTGAACATTATGCTCGAACAGGAAATTTCCATCAAGAACCTACTCCCATATGGATGAAGGTGCTACATAGTGGTGTTCGAGACAGAAGAGGCTCAAGCTCGAGCAGAGGAGCTATATGGACTCATCAATGACAGTTGGGCTATGTCCTTCCATTCATGGATTCCAAGGTTCATGGCTGATGATCAGGCATAATTGTTCCACTCAACGTGGCACTTTGGGACATCCTAATGGAGATAAGGATCAAGAAGGTGATAAAAGAGCTAGTTGAGGGAAGCATCGGGCAGATTGCTTCTGGCCTGGACACTATGGATGCAAGGGTATCCTGGGCCTTGTCAGGTTTAAGGTTTTCGTCTCGTCCCCAACAAAGCTTCCAGCAAAGGTAGCAATACTGAGACAGTACATTTGAATCTAGGTGGAGAACTCAGACCATGGTGTGGTTTTGCCTACAGCCTAGGCACAGTGAGAATGTGTGCACCACTAACGGCCTAAGCTTGCTCTAGGATGGTCCTTTGAACTCCCAGAGGCAATGGAGAAGTAGCTGAAGCAGCATCCTTTAGAACATACACCACATATCCAATTTCCAAGTGGGTCACCCTTCTCTTGGCCTGAGGAACAGCCCAGAATGTTCAAGATCACAATTTTTGAAAAGGACAATGAAGGTTTTCAGCCAATTCTTCCTTAGATAGTGAACATGGCAGTCAAATGGATCTTGCCCAAGAGAGAGCTGACAACCACAAAGGCCAGCAACTGGTTGACGTATTGGGGACACACAATGTTCTCGAAGGTCATCACATTTGGAGACTACTAGATGCACATGGAACATGCCATCATAAAGTAGACAGGTTTCATAGAATATGTGGTGTGCAGCTTTTCCTGGACCAAGTATAAGGGGAAGCTTATTGTAGTGTGGACCATCTCCACAAAATGGAGGGCTAGGCCCTACAACACTGTGTTCTCCTGGAAATATGTTGCTCCATGACTACACTCTCAATCCTAACGTGGAATTGTTGGGGACTAAGTTTTGACAACAGTTGACTCAACAAGAGAGTACAACTTAAGTCCCACATCCGAGAGATTGGCTTGGAGGGAAGGATAGATATACTACGCATCCAAGAATACAAGATGGAGGAAGCACCAAACTTCAACTTGGGCATGCAAGGGAGAATTTGGAGGAACCCAGCCACATAAGTGAGGGTATGCCAAGGAGGAGGTGTGGCAGTCATCGTTTCTACCAAGTGTTCTACACAGGTATGGGATCATAGGTATTGAGGAAAGCATAAATGCTAGTTATCCACATGCACCTCGGGCACATTGGGATCTTCAATATCTATGCACCCACTAGATGAAGGGAATGTGCACAGATGTGGGCAGAGATACAATAGAGCAATCAAGGAGTGGTGGAGTGGCTCGTGATAGGAGACTTCAACATGTTTGAGAACTTAAGTGATTGTTGAGGCTCACTGAAAACCATTCAAGGGAGAGAGAGGAAGAGGTGGACAACTCTCATGGATGACTTAGGCATCTTGGACCTCCAGCACATAGAAGGCTTCATTGCTCACTCCCATCCATTCATAAGAAGACAATTGATGGAGTGTCAAGTATGCCTCGATAGGATCTATGCCTTCACCAGATTGAGATTGAATGGAGGGGGATTTAAAATGTGCCCTGTGTTCACCACCTTTTCGAACCATGATCCTCTACAAGGCATTATCAAGCTACAAACCAAAGCAACACTAGTAGATTAGATAGCATTGAAGCTTGTCTAAGAAGCACTAGCATGCAAAGGAGATCTTGTTTCGGTAGTGCAAGTTTGCTCCACCAAGCTACGGGAAAGATAGGCAACACTTAAAGGGGAAGTCTTGAAGGAGGTGAGGCTTGCAAGGCAGACATACACAAAACTTGAGCAAATGG